CCTAAGTGCTTTATCTGTAATCTTTATTGCTAGAACCAAACTATTCTATACTGCTTCTCTGAAGAAAACTCTCTTGCCAGAATGCACACATATAAATTAAATGAATGGTTATTTTATTTTCTAAACTTGAATTAGTTATGGTCTGACATAAGGATACCATTTAATCCAAAGATTGCTTCCAGATACTTCTAAATATTAATATAATCATGTGATCCTTAATATTCTAACATACATATCTACATAAAGATGCACAAGATAAAGAAATGAATCATAGTTTATGAAGAGACTTATGAAACTACTGTAACATCTTTCTCTCGAAACTCCCATCTCTCTCTACATATATCCATCTGCTGGACTGGATGGCCAGCCTTTTATGTCCCCTTTTTCTATTTTGATGATAATTGCTGTGATAATCCTCTTACCAGGGTCCAGGCCCTTATAAATAAGAGCTACTTTATAACAAGATTCCCATCCTTGAGCTATAATATATCATAATTTAGTTAGAGACTAAAGGCTTTAGACTTATTGTTGGCCAATGCACATCATTTGTAGTGATAGAATTGAGGCAGTGATGTTCTAGACATGACTATCTGAACACCTGACATCCTCAAGAGGTTTAGGCTTTCTGCTCCTGCTTGCCTGAGAAATCTCAATAAAAGCCATATGGCTCACTATAAAGACAGGCCCCCAAGGCTGGTTTTCTGGTCAAGCCTTAGGCAAGTAGACTTGCAATGAGTCAGTGCTGTTTTGCCCTGCTGGGACCCACTGGTGGACGCGTTGGCCCACCTTTGGCCAGGAGAAAGGTCCTAGCCTTCTGAAGAACTCAGTTCTCCACCTTTAGCACTTGCAAATCCTGCCTGAAATGAATGAAAATCTGAAAGCCTTAGTGCTTTTGCCTGGCTACCTGTCTTCTTCATCCTCTGATGAGAAACAAAAGACAACCTTAGTGTATATTTTTATGATTTTGTTTGTTTTATTTTTTCATGCTCTGTGTCTCCATAGCAATACTCATTTGCCATGAAATAAAAGCAATTATCCCAGTTCCACTTCTCGAGACTACACATACACTATTTTATATATATATATATACACATATAATATACATATATATGTATATACACATATATGTATGTACATATAGATCCATATATGTATATATCTTAAAAAGACCAATAGAAGAATCTTAAAACATCTTGAGAGAATATTTTTTCTATATTATTTTTTCAATGTTCATGCATTTTCACATGATATTCGTCTACCTCGTAGAGACACAAGAAGAAACAATTCGTGTGTGTACTTGGTAGATACGCACACATCTATCAAGAGCCAGGCCAAATACCACTCTATTGGTTTACCCATCGCTAGTAAGATAGTGTCTCTCTTATTGTGCTAAGATAGCTCTTTGTGCATATATATTATCTCATCAATGAAATTGTGCTACTACTAGCTTATCTAATTTTCTTACCATCAGAGTTTCACGAGGGAAAGGGTTGTTCCTTTCTTCGTATACTGAGCATACAATTTTAGCACATAGGAGGTGCTAAATGAAAGTATGTTAAATATATGTATGTATAGCTGCATCTTACTTTTGAACCTCTAACTTTAGTTTATTCTTCAATGTACTGACTATGTCATTTGTCTCAGTCCTGAGGTAGTTGGCATTGATATTTCAGGAAGAGTCAAAATTTGTCCTAGAATACAGGGAACGGGTGTCCTGTTAGGGGAGTCACCTTGAAGAAACGGCCAGAACTTGGAAAATAATGTACATTTATCAAATTTCTCCACTATTGTAGCTCATTTATAATTGCTGAATGTACATTATTTTAGATTACAATAGCAATATGGTCACATTTAGGTTAAAATTAACCATAACTCTTACTCTCCAAAATTATTGCTGCTAGGAATTTAAATGTATTTCTCTCGTGCCCCGACATAAATATATCTATGCTTTTCATTTAAAAATAGTTGGTCATGATTTTCATTGTAAAAATAATAGATGCTCATTGAAAACTATTTATAAAGTGAAGAAAAGCAAATAAGACATAACACAAATCACATTTACTTACATGTCTAAGAGACAGTCTATTAATATTTTTCTATTTTCATCCACATTTATATCCATGAAAAAAGTCGACACACACACACACACACTCAAAGGAATATTCTTTGGCCTATGAGTTCCACTCATGAAATAAAACTGTATTGTAATGTTATAACATCCTTATTGCTAAAGTTTTGGTTTTTTTTCAATTTTTTTGTTGGGGGGTGGTAAGGGGCAGTGGGGAGGGGCAAACGATTTCCTATCAGTCACCTAAAATCATTCACAGACACTAAACTCTCTACTGATTTTCTATAGGTCTAATCTGTTGTGACTCAAGTGATGGAAGCACATAGTGGGATTGTTGAGGGTTTGGGATCATTCGGCAGTGGATTAACTGGTAAAATGATGAAATAGCAATGAAATATATTGAATTGTGCGATTACTTGGTTCTCTCTGTAAACTTCCATCAGAGAACTGGGGAGATAGACCACACTGTAGATATTAGTAAGGTTAGTCACTTTCTGGGTTTATATACATAATAAAAGTAGGTCCATGCCAGAACCAATGAAAAGCATCACTAGGATCAGACTAAAGAGCAGAGGACCCCACAGGTTTAAATTAAAGTGAAGAATGTGGTCAAATTCATGCATATTAAACTTCCAGAGGCTTATTATGAACCATGGGGATACCTGAGACTCAAATTAGATAAACCATTGAAGTCTAGATAGCTTTTATCCTTTCTCCTGCCATTTCTGTCTCCCATCAGTAAGGATGATAATTTATCACAGAGTTAAAAAAATATATTTAACTGGTCTCATTGGTTACATAATTATTTTCTTCCTCACCCCCCACCCACTGCAACTTTATAGTCTCGTCTGGAGCCTACTGCATTTTTAATTCCGGGGCCTAGAGTATTTTCTGTCTATGAAATACTAATTATTTTCTTTAACAATATACAAGCTATTTATAATTTTTTGCATTAATAGTACATTTTGATTAGGAAGAAAATGAGAGACTTTGTTACGTCATGGTGGACACTGAGTATTTGATGATATTAGGAGGTAGGTCCTTTGAAAAGCCACATTTGTGTATTTGTGACTAATGCTCCGTTATGGATTGTGAGATGCTCTTTGAGGTAAAAGTTAAAATTTTTCTTTTTTTGGCATATTTGAGTTCATAAAGATGAGGAAGTCCCTATTCTGAGGGAAAACTATAGATATTTGAAGACATATTATCTCCTCAGAAACTTTTCCTACAAGGGTAAATATTTCCAATCCCTTTAACCATTTTTGCTCTGACATACTATTATCACTTTCAATATCATGTTTAACCTCTGTTGGACACATTCCAATTTGACTATATTTCTTTTAAGATGGAGTACCAGGACGGGATTTAGAATTTCAAGAGTGTGTGCAAACAGGTCACATGAGAGAGAAGCTCTTCTCTAGTTTTCTAGAAATATGCTCATTACTATGAGCTAAAATCACATGAGTTTCAGGTAAACATGTTACAATATAGAATGTTGAGCATTCTAATGCCCCTAAATATTGTCATGAAATTTTAATTTCCCTGGAGCCTGTATCTCCTATTCTTTGTTTCTAGAAATATGTGTATTAATATCAACTAAAAATCTCATTGATTTTTTGAAGGTAGATATATGACACTATTCTAGAATATTTTATATATCATTGACATGCATATTACTGAAATATATTACACACACATACTTTTTAAAATTGGAGTTTCTATGGAGCTCATCTCTTTCGTTTCCTGCTAATAAAGCTGGCTTTTTGATGCAGGTGTAGTGCTTCTGTTTTATCCCTGATGAGTATTATTTTATTAGCTTTCTCTCATCACACTAACATTTCAGAATCTTTTTAGATCAGGGTGTGTCATTCAATATATCTGATGTCCCTCATATGTTCATGCCATTCTTCATTTACTCCATGAATGACAGAGTTAAAATTAGAGATTTGTCATATGTCTTCACTATAAATCCATTAATTATTGACACTGCTGATAATGAATCCACCCAATTCTGGATATTAAAATTAATAATCATAGCATATTTTGTCAAATTGCCTGAATTTCAAAAATATTTCATGCACTACTTTCTCTCAGGTTAATAATGTTAAGTAACTTGTCAGAGGATTAAGTGAAGATCATTTGTTCTTTTTGGTTTGATCTTCATCATCGGTTACTGTGTATCATGATAAGGATTTCCAACTTCCAGGCGCTCATACCTTGCCTTTGATAATTTGTTTATTATGTTACTTCTCTTTTGTATTTTTATATTTTTAATTCCTAATGTTTGCATTCTTAATGTTGTTTTTGTTTTTCTTCTTGAACTTAAATGTACAGTTCTGTATTTAAAATTATTTTGAAAATCTTCATTACCACCACCATCATCACCATCATCATAACATTTGTAGATTTGTACTCTTCTAGCATCTTTAAAAAAAAAACAAATGTTTTTAAAGTAGTTTTAGTTTTACAGAAAAATTGAGTGCAAAGTGCAGAGTCCCCCACACTCCTTCCACCCTCCCTCCACTTTGTCCTATTAGCACCTTGCATTAGTGCGACATGTTTATTACAACTGAGGAACCAATATTGATACAGTATTATTAATTGCAGTTCATAATTTATGAAACTTTACTCTTTGTACATCCTGTGAAATTTGACATATGGACAATAACATGTTTCAGCCATTGACCTGTCATACAGAATAATTCCACTGCCCTATTTATTATCCCTTCCTGTCTCCTCATTCCCAACCCCTGATAAGCACTGATCTTTTTACTATCTCCATAGTTTGCCTTTTATAGAATGCTACATGGTTTTGACTTTTTTGTTTGTGTTTTGAGACAGGATCTCCCACTGTCTCCCAGGCTGGAGTGCATCATAGCTCACTGCAACCTCGATCTCCTGGGTTCAAAGGATCCTCCCACCTCAGCCTCCCGCGTAATTGAGACTACAGGTGCACACACTACCATGACTAGGTAATTTTTATTTTTGTATTTTTTGGCTATGTTGCTAAGGCTGACTTTGAACTCCTAACCTCAAATGATCCTCTGACCCTGGCCTCCCAAAGTGCAAGGATTACAGACATGAGCCACTGCTCCTGGCCCAGGATGTTATGCAGTTTGAATCACGCAGTTTGTAACCCTTTCGGATTGGCTCCTTTGACTTAGCAATAAGCACTTAAGCTCCTTTCATGTCTTTTTGTGGCTTGATAGTTCATTTTAGAATCTCTTTTCATATTCTCCATTTCTGAAATAGGATTAGTCTTGATTCAATTTTCTCAATAGCAAGGTCTCTCAATTTTCTGATAATTATACAGCCAATTTCTAACTTTCCCCTTCATTATATCTCCTGAAATAAGTTTACTTTCCTTAATATTTACTCTCCATTTTTTCCCAGTTTAAAGATTTTTTTTTCTCCTAGAAAGCAAGAAGATTGAATATACCATTGTTTTTTTAAGGCACTTGCTTCTATTTGATACCAGAGAAATTGGATTTATCTACCTCCCTCCTGGAAAAGCTGTTTAAAGATTATCTGATATTGGAGAATCTCTCTGAGCTTTCCTAATAAGCTTTAACTCATTTCCTCCACAAGGTAGGTAACACTTGGCTGAGAATAAACAAGGGCAAAAGTTCAACTCTGTTGGCAAAACAATTGTTCTCTCTAGTGCCTGAGGACTTGAGTGACCAACCAGCAGTGTCTGTTGTTTGTTTAATCAGCCTAGTAACCAAAAAAGCCTGACTTCATGGATACAGAAACGAGAGGAAGTGCACAGAACTTGTTTAGTTAATTAGATAACAGGATGCCATTTATCCCATTGGCATCAGTAACTATCAAAAATAGACATTACCTTCTTATAGCAACAGATTGTGAAAAGACGACAAGCTGTATGAAAGTTTTCTCAGGAGAAACTATTTAAAGGCAGTCTTAGACAGAGCTAGCTGTTCCTTAGCATTAAAACAAAAACAAATAACTAATTCCATAAATAAAACCACAAAACAGGAAAGTTAGCAAGCAAACCAATCAACAATAAACAACAATGCTCCTTTTTCATGTCTAAATTGGATCTGGTAACAATAATTGCACAGGAAATCTGGAAAGTTCCTAGGTGTTATCTCATTACATCTTTTTTTATTATTATTTATTTTTTTATTTTTTTATTTCGGCATATTATGGGGGTACAGATTTTAAGGTTTCAATAAATGACCGTTTCCCCCCCTCCCCCCACAAGTCTGAGTCTCCATCATGACCATCCCCCAGATGGTGCACATCTCACTCATACAAGACAACATCATTTACATTGCTTTACTTGTGAACAAGTCAAACTCAAAGAGCATTTGGTCACAAGGCTAAGAAACAGGTGTAGTTTATACTTTCCATTTCATCTTCTGTATTCCCATTCATAAAATTCCTACTTTGGTCAGATATACTTTCTAACCAGCCTCTCCATATACAGTGTGCATTTATTTCAATTGTTATTTTTTTCCCTACACGTATTGAAGAGAATTATTCAGCCTTTCACTAAATGTTGGAGGAAATATACCACAAGCTAACTCACATTGTTCAATCTCTTCATTTACCAGACACTCAATGTGATAGTTTATTTCATAAGATCCTAATGCTGTATTAATACACAAAGGTGGATGTGACTAATCTTAATTTTATCTATCACATTTTTAAGATTCCAAAATCAAATGACCTGTCCAATACCACAAATGTATGTGATTCAGAGTGTTAGATTTGTTCTGGGTGGGATCCTAAAAAGTATGTATAGGACAGAATGCGATTATTGAAAAACTTTGGCTTGTAAAACAATAGCTACAGGAGTCTGGAGAGTGGGCAGGTTGTAAAACAGCTGCGCTGGCGCTCCTATCCCCCTGAGGGAGGAAGAAGCTACATTCCTCCCTTATCCCTGCAGGATGAGACTGATGCGGGGGTCCCAGAAATTGGTTCTTTAAATTTTTTTTTACAGTGGCTGTTCTGGCCCAGGTACTCACTCCTCCAGGAGAAGCCCTCTATAAAACCCAAGGCTTTCCCCTCCCTCGGGGTAGATGCGCTTTGGTCTCCACCCAGGTGCTCAGAATGAAACGGCAATTTGCTACACATGAGGCTTCGTGAGTCTCTCTCTGATCCGGACATAACACAAAGCAAGATGTAAATCCAGATTCATCTACTTTCTCCTTAACTTTTTCACTACCCAGCCAACACCAGTGAAGTCATATTGTACATATCCCATGATACAACACCATTAAAATAATGTCCCTTTACACATAACTGCATACTTTTACTTAGAAGAAATTTTAAAATCAAATTCTATGTTGGGTATCTAGAGCACCTTGGATTCACTCCACTTTGTGCTAGGCTTGGAGAGCACATGGGTGTTAAGCAATGTCTGTACTCCCTCCCAAAGAAGATCACCATCAACCAGAAAACATAGGCATGGGAATGATTTGTTGCAAAAAAATGAGATAAGTGTTAGAGTAGAAATTTATTTTAATCTATGCTCTTTTAGTACTAAATATATTGATTAAATCCATAGGTAAAGATGTGGGGTGGGGGTGGGGGAGAATGCCCAGTCAGTCCAGTGCAACCTCTCAGAAATAACTTTCTCCTTCCATGTGCACTCTGATCACTGGCCATGCTGAATGACTTGAAATTCCTTAAACATTGTGATCTCCACTTATCTGTGGAGGATACGTTCCAAGACCCCCCCAGTAGCTGCCTAAAACCTCAGAAAATGCAGAACCCTATACATACTACTTTTTTTCTATAAATACATTCTTGCGATAATGTTTAATTCAATTAAATTAATCTGGCATACTGTGTTGTGGTCAATCAGAACATGTTTCTGTTAGGGTCTTCTTCTTACAAATTTAATGTCCTTTCCATCTTAATTAAGCATTTATCAAGCACTGTGGCCATAACTTTCGCAGTTTGAGGTGTGACAGCAATATTAGCACAAATTCCTTTTTCCTTTTTCACAGTTTCATCAATAGAATATTTGTTCTTACTGTAGAGTTTAGCAATTTCAGCATATGATTTTTTTCTTTCCCAATTAGATAGAGAATTTTCACCTTTTCATTTAGAGGAAGCACTTTGCTCTTTGCGATATCTGAATTGCCAACTTCTCTTGTGCTTTGAGGCCATTATTTAGTAAAATAAAAGTTACTTGAACACAGTTCAAGTTACCACCACACAGTTGATCTGCTAACCAAAACAATCATTAAGTGGCTAACAGGTGGGTAACCTCTACAGTGTAGATACCTTGCACAAAGAGTGGTACTGATCAGGGCAGGATGAGATTTCATCATTTTACTCAGAAAGACATGCAATTTAAAGTTTAGGAATTGTTTATTTCTGGAATTTTCCATTTAAAATTTCCGGATTGTACTGACTATGAGTAACTGAAATCATGGATAGTGAAAGTGAAGACAAGGAGGGGTTACTGTAATTTACCCCATAGGTTCATGCCTTTAAAAAGATGTAATTTAAGGCCAAAATAGCTTTCTGGCCTGAAAGCAGTTCCCTCTAGGAGCCAGGTTACACACTGTCTCCTCTAGGATACATTCTTGAAGAACCACCCAAATCCTAATTCAGTGTTGCCTCAGTGCTTCACTGCATTCTTTAAATAGCTCAGTCAGGACACAAATGACACTTCTGTGAGGTTTATTTCAAATAATCTGTATTCCCACTAGATAACATAGTGCTTGAAGAGAAAGAAGCAAATGTTTGATTGGATACTCCTTGGCCTATAGTAGGCACTCAATAAATCATTGTTGCTTAAAGAATCAATCAATAAATGAAAATCTGTTTGCTAACCCCTTTTAATTTATTTTCAGATTTTTCCATATATATTCTCTTCAGTATACTCTGCTTTTTTCAAAAAATAGAAACTCTAGAAAGTATAAAAATTCTATATTTAGAATTGATTCTATGCATTTGCTCAAGACTATTTCATCATCTATTCATTTGGTATTTATATATGTAAATGCATCTAGACCATTCTTTATTTTTTGTCTCTTCTATATAAATATACTGTGTCTAATGTATATTTTATTGGATAATTAGGTGCATATTAGTGAAGGTAATCTATGTTCTGCAGCAGTACTACAAATCTAGAAATAGCATTTCTTAACACAACAGAGATTTATTTCAGGCTCTCCTTAATGCTAATGTGGGACAAAGCATGTTCCTCTATTTTACAATTCCTCACCATGGAATATGTGTCTTCAGAATTCACTGTTGTAGGCAAGAAAGAGATAGAGAAATCACACTGATTATTTTCATAAGTTTTGCTCAGATTATATGGTCAGAACTAGTCACATGGACCAAACATAAGTGCAAAGGTTTCTGGAAAATATAGATATGTATATTGAATATTTGGGCTCAGGTATAAGGTGTGTCTAGATTATCATTTTATAGTACCATACTCTCATTCTTGTATATTTGAGTGTACATGTTAGAGTTTCTCTGGGACAGAAATAGGATAGCTATTATGGTTTGCCCATTTTTTCTATTTTGCTAAGCTGACATATTGCTCTCCTACATGGTCAGGCCAAATTATGTTCTTTAATTAACTACGAAGCAACTACACTGGCATTTCAACATCTATGTCTGTTATGCTCATTGTCATACATCTCAATTGTATAAAAATCAGCAAGAGAAGATGATTTTGTTTTGTTTTGTTTTAAAAGAGGCCCCTGGGAGATGGGCATACTTATAACTCTAACTCAAGAATTACAAATGTGATCGTTGTAACCAAAAACATTTGTACCTGGGTAATACTTTCAAATAAAATAAATAAATGAGGTCCCTAAAACACTTCTAGTCCCCACATATTTATGATTTTTTTTAGAGGGAGTTACTTATTCTCATGATTTATTTATATTTCAATGCTGTGTTTGTTTAAATTACTATAATTTTATAAGTCTTGGTATTAGGAGGGGTAGCACCTTTCCATATTGTTAGTATTTCAAATTATCTTGCTGTTCTTGAATATCCAAAATTCTGTTGGAATTTTTAATGAATGGTATTACATGGATTTTATAGATTTGCTTGAAGATAATTTCCACCTGTCAATTAATAAACATTGGTTACAACAAGGTATTATATTTTCTTTAATCAAGGGTTAAAATTTTCTCTATTAGGTATTTCTTAAGGTGATTTCTTATATAATTTGATTTCAATCTTTCTTATTCCACAACTTAAAGCTATGAATTCATTTGAAAAGGTAGTTTACCTATATGAGACTGTCTTTATGTGTTGATTTCATAGTCCTTCAGGTCTAAGTCTATTAATTTTTATTGTAAGATCCTGAGTAATTAATCTATGAGGTATTTGGAATGGCATTATTTTCCAAGTATTTTGGTAATTGTAGTTTCTCTTGCTCTATTTGTTTATAATTTTATTGCATTGTATCCAACAAATGTTCTCCCTTTCACTCACTCTTTTTAATAATTTAATTTTTCTATTTGATATTCATATTTTGTTGAAGTAAGTTGTGTTTTATTTTTGTCTTTAGTTTTTGATACATTCTCTTTATCACAATATTTTAGCAATTTGATTATGGCATGTAACTTGATGTGGAATTTTTTTTTTACTGTTTGTGGTTTGTTGCATGCTCTCTGGTCTGGTGTATGGTTCTGTGATGTTCATCAACTTTCAAAAGCTCCATTCATTATGTTATATATGTATATCCCCCATACTTCTCTCTTTTGGGGACTCCAATTATACATATGTTAGCAATGTTACATCACCTATAATGTCCCACAGGTCAATAATGCTGCAGTTATTTATTTATCTTTTTTTCCCCTTTAGTCTGTTTCTCTCCAGCCTTCATTGAAATGCCTGTATTATTACAAACCCATGGTTTATTGTTCTTTTTCTATGTCATTTCTAATATGCTTATTAATTCCATCTAGTGTTTTTTGTTTTACTTGTTTTGTTTTGCTTTTTAATTTCTGGTCTTGTGGTTTAATCTCTAGAAGTCCCAATCATTTCTTTTATATATCATTTGTTTTATTTTTTCTCTTTATGTTAATTTTTTTTCTTTACATCATTACAGATATGGATCATTTTCATAATAGCTATTTTCCTCTCCTTTTTGCTAATTCTGTCATCTCTGCTCATTGCTGTCAATTGATGTTTCTTCTGGTTATGAGTGATTTTTTTGATTCTTCATTTTTAATTGGGCATTGAACATTCAGAATTTTATATTTTGAACCCTGTGTTTTTAATTTTAATTTTTTTTTTTTAAGACAGAGTCTCACTCTGTTGACCCGGGCTATAGTGTCATGGCATTAGCCTAGCTCACAGCAACCTTAAACTCCTGGGCTCAAGCAATCCTTCTGCCTCAACCTCCCAAGTAGCTGGGACTACAGGCATGCCCCATCATGCATGGCTAATTTTTTTTTCTATATGTTTTTAGTTGGCCAATTAATTTCTTTCTATTTTTAGTAGAAACAGGGTCTCGCTCTTGCTCAGGCTGGCTTCAAACTCCTTACCTTGAATGATCCACCCGCCTCTGCCTCCCAGAGTGCTAAGATTATAGGTGTGAACCACCACACCTGGCCAATTTGAATATATATTTTTTATTTTTTGTGTACCTCTAAAGGATGAGATTGATAGATTTTTTCCCCTATTAGGCAATTAAGTACCTTTGGATTAGTTTAATCTTTTTAAAGTTTATTTTTTAGTTTGTTTTGAGTTTAATTATAGTAGCATTTCTATAACTCATTTAGTCCCACTTTTAAGGTAAGGACAAAAGGCCCATTGTATTCAGTGAATGAAGCTTCCATACTCTGGCTGAAAGAAAGTCAAGCAATTCTTGGCCTTGCATGACCTTTGAGAATTGTTTATCTTGTAGCTTCATATAATGACTTTTTGCCTGGGGAGTTGTTTTGTTTAGTCTCTTGGGATTTCACACTATAGGTATGCATATTGGTATTCAGGAAATACTCCTGGGCCCTCATGTAGATTTCTGGAGCTTTGTATGTTTGCAGATTTAGTTCTTTGGTTCTCCCTAGTTCCCTGAACAACAATTTCTAGGCTTATTGGCCTGTGCAAATTCCAAGCTCTGTTTTCTCAATTTAGTGAGATTTCCACACTTGGTTTCAGTTCTCCTGACTGTCTTGTAGTATAGAAATTACCTCCAGACAAAAGTGCTAGGCAGCAATTTGCGTCATCTAGCTTCTTTCCCTTTCCTTGTGAATTATAGCTCTGGGCTGCCCTTGGTGCAATGTCTGAAAATAGTTATTTCCTATATTTCTCCCCGTTGTCTAGTTGTGGGAGGGTTGCTTCGGAACATCTTATTCCTCATGGCTAAAAAGCAGAAGTCCTCTCAAGTGTTTCCCTCTCCGTTGTAATTACGGTTATGTGTTCTGTGAAGTATATGTTAAAATGTTTTACCTCCTGGTCCCTGTTTAGAGCAGAGCTGTGAGAACTGCTTGTTCACTTCCATTGTCATCAGAATTCCCAGGCTGTTCACTTTAATTTTCGTTTTTTCCAAATATCCTAAGATACGTACTTGACTTGAACCACACCATCAAAACTTATATTTTTTAATGAAATAGGGCTTTCCTAGCTATGAATTACAAATAATAGATAATACATAATAAATTGGGTAATTCAAACCATATGAAGGGGAAAAAAGAAAATTAATGTGTCTGTGAGTAGTTTGAATTTGTGGTGTCAACGGAAAAAAAAAAAAAGTCAAACTCTGTAAAACAATTTAAAAGAGATTTACTCTGAGCCAAATTTGAGGATCATAACCCGGATAGTCAAGCCCCAGAAGCCTTGAACAAGTGGACTAGCTGTGGCTGGTTACAGTTTGGTTTGGTTTTATACATTTCAGAGAGACAGGGGTTATAAGTGAAGTCATAAATCAATACGTGGGAGGCATACATTGGTTTGGCCCAAAAAGGTGGGCCATTTCGAAGTGAGGGCTTACAGGTTATAAATGGGTTTAAAGATTCTTTGGTTTGTAATCGGTTAAAGATAGGAAGCTTTATCTAAAGGCTTGGAATCTTTTAAAATAATGGGGTCTGTTAATCAGAGACCAGCCACCTGACATACATTTGTTGTGTAAATTGAGAACCTGCAGGTTTGTTTTGCATACCCTTAGGCCTGTTAATGGGTTACAAAGGATGTCTCCAAGAAGGAACGGGGCATGATGAGGCATGTCTGACCTCCCTACTCCTGGCAGACAATTTAGTTTTAGGATATTCCTTTGGCCATGAGGGAGTCCATTCAGTCAGCTGGGGGAGGGGGGCAGGTGAGCCTTAAATTTTTATTTTAGTTCACAGTGGCTTTTTTGTGTGTGTGTGAGGAATAAAGTCTTTATTGGGCTCAGACCAGGACTCCGTGGGTCTTGAGGACTTCTGTGCATTTTTCAATTTTCTTCTACAGTGGTTTTAAGTACTGCTGGATCCAGGGACCCTAAAAACCTTTCTATTTCTCTTCACTTTCATTCCTATTTTTTCATCATCTATTGACTCTGCTTCTCCTTTTCCCTCATGGCCAATAGTAGTCTTAGTGGGTAGAGAATCTCTACTTTCCACACAGCAGTTCCAGGGAAGTCTTCTTATTGAACATGCTCATTTTTTTGTAACCACCCCAGGAAGACCACTATGTTAAAAGAAAAGGGATATTATGATTAGCCTGGCCTGAGGCACATGACTATCCCATGCAATGAGTTTGTAGGAGGTTACACAATGGGACACATCCTGGCCACACAAGAACACATGGCACTGCTTTGTATCTGTGTCACACATTTTGGTCATATTTGATTTCTGAAATAAAACATACTTTCATTAGACTCTCACAATATCTTATATATCAGAGAAAAGTCCCCAAAAAGGTCTAAAATAAAAATAGAAACATTCTGGTTTCCAGCCTCATTTCCACCAGTTCCCCAAGTTAAATAGCCATTATAATCAAATTGCTGTATTCACTGTCTACTGTGCTTTCCTCTGCCTCATTTCTCAGACACTCTTCCAACTTGAAATGCTTCCAGACTCCACATTCTCAGCCAGAAAAAGTCTACATGTTTGTCAAGACTTAATCTATAAAGCCTTACCTAGTCAGTCAGGCTTAAAATCATCTCTGTTTCTCTTTCCTTTGACATTTCTCAAGTGCCCCAGCCAATCCTTTTGCACCTAGAAATGCTGATTATCTTTTTCATATATATAGCTTACTTATTTTACTACTAAGTTATAAACTTCTTTAGGGCAGACATTTTGTTCTATACCTCACATGCAGGCAGTAGAAAAAAACAACAAACTTTGGGGTCAGAAAACTTTGGGTTTAAATTCAAGCATTACCCTTCACTCAAAGACATTCCTTGAGTATGTTACTTATCTTTGGCATGCAATATCTATGCTTGTCATGGTAATGATGACATGTGTCTTTATTTTGTAAAATATCTTAGCTCATAATACAGGATCATTTTCTTAAAATAAACAATTTTGTATGCCTTCTTGCAACTCTCACTAGGCCTCATACACAACCAGAGCTGAACAGATACTTGTACAAATTAAGTAAAGCTCCTACTTGACTTGTTATAGATTTTTGACTGTAATATATTCAATTCAACACATTTAGATGGGAAATATAAATGCAGGAAAAGCCAGATTATATTCTGCTTGATTTTCCCTGCTCTTCATTTGATTTCTGCAATGGATTTAAAACTGACGTTATGGCTTTTTACCATGACTATGAAAATGCTGTTGCTTCATTTTTCTTTTATCAAAGAATATCTGATCATGATGATTATATAATACTTATTAATAGATAATTTCTGGGCATGTCAACACAACCATTTTTTAAACAGAATAGTTTTAGTTTATGACTTTTGCTTATCTTTTCTTTACTTGAAACTAGGCTGAAGTTTTGAAAAAATAGAAAGGGAAAAATACAACTATATTTTACCCATATCACCATGGCAGGAAAAAATTCTGTTAATAATAGCCGCCATTTATTAAGATGTTTTACTTATACAAATCATCTCAATGACACAATGAGGAGTTTTGTAATTCCATTATTCAAGTGATAAATTTAAGGCTGAGAGAATTTAGGTAATTCGAGGAAAAGTGCCTGCTACTGGATTAGACCCAAATGGCTTTGATTCTGATGCATTATTCATATGCACACCATACTACTTCTTTACTAGCCTCAAGAAAATAGCTTGACCAAAACGTCTATAAACAACCACACTGTGAAATGATTTTGAAGAGAGGATCTATAAAATAGACCCTCTTTTTATTAATAGAGAAATTTTGATTCCAAGAGGATATTTGCTTATAGTATTCATCCTCAAGATCTATTGCCTTTTAACTTATGTGGTGTTTCTATCATGTGTTTGTAGCATCCAGATCCTTTCCTTAGAGACTGCAGTGCTGTCACAGTGGGAGATGACAACTTGAGGACTGGGTGAAGCAGTAGGGAAAACACACTCATGAAACAAAGATCTTATTTCCATAGTGATTTCCGAGTGTTGTGTCACAAAGCAGTAGGAGGTAAAGCACATGGCCCTGCCCAGAGGTACGGATCTTAGGAGATATTCTCATATAAATTAACTGTAAGTGACATCAGCCATTATGTTTAATACCACTTACACTATCAGTGAAGCATCTCTCACTAAAACCAAACTGAAAGCAGATATTAGTCTGAAGACTCAAACAAACAGTGAAAGAAATAATACTATATTTTTATTGATTTATATGACCAAATATTTGGTGAACCCAGATAATTATTTCGTATTCTTAAACTTATTCTTTACAGCTATCATGTTATATAGAATTTATCTATCAACCTGTGTTTCTCCATAGATGCATATTATTTTATGCAAACTGTAACTCCAATGTCAAATATTGGCCCATAATAGGCCAGTCATTATATTTGTTGAAATGAACATAATTTTATATATTATCCTTTTGTCTCTTCTTAGTAAATACGTTTATATTGAAATGTTCTAAAACATTAATTCATTTAAGATTATTTTGTTAGGCTATAATTATAAGTAGTTACAATTTTCTTTTGATAAACCTTATCACATATATATAATAGCATAAGTGGAATATTAAATGGATAAGGTACTTATGGCTCCAGTCTTATAAAGCGTTAGAATTGTTTAAGTTTCTTTCATTTTTATTTTATCCAGACACATTGTTAGTGAGAGCACATAAAAATAGATCTTCCCAACTGAACTTCAGATGTATTAACCTCATAATTAAAATTTGGTGGAATGGGTAAATATTTATATAATGAAATTTTCTTATTGAACCTGCTCATTAAGGCACTAAAATCCAATCAAATAAACAAATGTAAGACAAAGTAAAAACAACAACAACAACAAAATGTTTATATTTCTGTGGAATCAAAACAAATAGTGATTTGGACAAGTTAACTCTATGATTTAACAAATTAAAGAAGCTAAATCAGCTAATCAATAATATGTTAACTGCTGATTGATTTTTTTTAATGGAAAATTCAAATGGAAGTCAACTGGTACACATGTGAAGCTCAGGAGGCAGTTGAAAAGATATCAAAGATCTAGGTGTAAATAAACACAAATAAGTATAGGGAGCCATCAAGAAGATAGGCTCTGTAGCCTTGTAGTATAGTTTGAAGTCTGGTAATGTGATACTTCCAAATTTGTTTCAGTGGAGCAGAACAGAGAACTCAGGTATAAAACCATTAACCTACAACCAGTTGATCTTCAACAAAGCAGAAAACAACATACACTGGGGAAAAGAAGCCCTATTTAATAAATGGTGCTGGGAAAATTGTATAGCCACATGCAGAAGAATAAAACAGGACTTCTACCTCTCACCATTTACAAAAATTAATTCAAGATAGATAAAAGACTTAAATGTAAGGCATGGAACCCTAAATATTCTAGAAGAAAATGTACGAAAAACTCTTCTGGATATCAGCCTATGCAAAGAATTTATGACTAAAACCCCAGTAGCAATTTCAGCAACAACAAAAATAAATAAATGGGACTTGATTAAACTAAAAAGCTTCTGTACAGAAAAGGAAATAATCAACAGAGCTAATAAATGGCCTACAGAATGGGAAAAAATATTTGTAAACTATATATCTAATAAAAGACTAACATCCAGAATCTACAAAAAACTCAAAAACATCAGCAAGAAAAAAACATACAACACCATTAAAAAATGGGCAAAGATATAAACAGAAGCTTTTCAAAAGAAGATAGACAAATGGCCAACAAACATATGAAAACATTCTCAATGTCACTAATCATCAGAGAAATGCAAATTAAAACCACAATGAGATATCACCTTACCCCTGTTAGAATATGGCTTTTATTAAAAAGCCCAAAAACAATGGATGCAGATGCGGATGCAGAAAGGAATGCTTATACACTGTTGGTGGGATTGCAAATTAGTACAACTTCTATGGAAAACAATATGGGGATTTCTCAAAGGACTTAAAGTAGACTTACCATATGATACAGCAATCCCGCTACTGGGTATCTACCCAAATGAAAAATAAATAAGACATCTTATAAAAAAGACACCTGTGGTCGAATGTTTATTGCAGCACAATTTACAATTGCAAAGATGTGTAATCAACCCAAGTGCCCATCAATTCATGAGTGGATTAACAAAATGAGGGTATATATACACCATGGAGTACTACCCAGCCATAAAAAGAAATGAATTAATGTCTTTTGTAGCAATTTGGTTGGAATTGGAGATCATTATTTTAAGTAAAGTAGCTCAAGAATGAAAAAAAAATACCATATCTATTCTTTAATAATTTGGAACTAATTATTGGCACACATGGACACAGAGAGAAGTAAAAGTCATTGGAAATCAAGCAAGGAGGAGGAAGGGGAGGGGAGGGGCAACAACCTGCCTATCAGGGACAATGACACTATTTGGGTGATGGGCATATTTATGCCCTGAATAAAGCTTTATAAAAGTTATGCATCTAACAAAACATTTGTACCACCTTAATATTTTGAAATTAAGAAAAGAAAAAAGAAAACTCAGGAACCTGTACCATATTAAAAAATAAATAAATAAAATTATTTTGGTTTGGTATATCAAAAAATGGCCTGTCATTGCTTTAATTTTTCATATTTCTAAATGATTCTTCTAATTAGTCCTTTCAAAGTGATTTATCATAGTTATTTAGGGTTTTCATAAGAATTTGATTTAATTCACAAGTTCTCCTTGGCTCCTTTTTGGAGTAGAAACTTTACTATTGTTAGGGTGACCGTATGACCCAATTTGCTTGGGACAATCCTGTCTATAACTGATGTCTTGTCTTCATTACTATTAACACACTCTGTCCTCTTATACATTTTCTTTATTGGGATTATAAATTACATGATTTCTGCATCCAGAGTCACAGAATGAATAATGGTGCATAAAGATGTTCACATCCTAATCCCTGTAACTGGTGAGTGTGTTACCTTAGATGGCAAAGGACATTTGTAGACATGATTAAGTTAAGAATTTTGAGAAGAGGGCTAGCCTGGATTATCTGGGTTGGCCCAACATAATCATAGAAGTCCTTATAAGAGGAAAGTAAGAGTGTCAATGTTAAAAGTAAGGCCCTTGCTTTTACCCCATCACAATCTGGACTAGTGCTGATGCCTTTCAAGATGAGCAAAGTCAGAAATCCAAGACAAATATACCTAAAAAACTCTCTCTCTCTCTCTCTCTCTCTCTCTCTCTCTCTCACACACACACACACACACACACAGACATACACACAACTGCACTAGAATGAAAGATGAATTGAAAAGAATAATTAGAAAAGAGAAAGAGACACCTGGAGAGGTTTGGGGTATAAGGTAGGCATTAATCTGAACTTTGATGATGGAGAGAAATAAAGCATCAGACTTTTCCAAAAGTAAAAACAAAGCCTGTTTATTAACTTTCTATGGGTGCTAGAACAAATTAACACAAAGACAGTGTCTTAATATAACAAAATACATTATCTTAAAGATCTGTAGATCAGAATTCCAAACTTAGTCTTGTAGGACTAAAATCAACATGTCAGAAGGACTGGTTCCTTCTGGAACCTCTAACATAGAATCCATCCCTTGTCTCTTTAAGCGTCCAGAGGCTGCCGGCATTCCTTGATCCATGGCCAAATCACTATAATGTCTATTTCCATTGTTGTATCATAACCTTTTTAATCTTGACACTCTTACCTTCCTCTTATAAGGACTCAGGTGATTATACTGGGCCAATCCAGATAATCCAGGCTAGTCCCCCTTCTCAAAATTCTTAACCTAATCACATGTGCAAACATCCTTCGCCATCTAAGGTAACGCACTCACCAGTTATGGAGATTAGGATGTGAACATCCTTATGCACCATTATTCATTCTACCACAGTCCACCTCCTTGCTTGTGAAGATTTATGTCCTACTCTCTCCTCACATGCAAAATATAATCACTCCATCCTAGTATCACCAAAAGTTTCAACCCATCTCAGAATCAGCTTAAGTTCAAACACTTACCTAAATTTCACTGGCTTCGAAAGTCCCCCATCCTTCCTTTGAACTCTGGAATATGGAAAAAAATAAAAAAAATTATAAGTCCCATATCTTATTTAAATCATCTAAATCAGGTATGATGAAACTCCAGATATGATGCTCCCTGGAGTAAGATTTCTCTCCATTTATGGACCTGTGAAAACAGAAAACATATTATTTACTCCCAAAATATGATGGTGAAAGAGGCATAAAACAACAATCACAGAAATTCCCACTCAAAAAGGCAGAGAGGAAATGAAACATGAAAGAAGTCACCATTGCAAGAAATTCTGAACGCCATCAGGACAAACTACATTAGATTTCCAAGCCTTTGGGGCTCACAGCTCTCTGGCTGTGGAGTCATAGTCCTTCTTATTGAAAGGCCACACATACGTGTAGCTGAGTAGCTTTATCAGCCTGTGTTCTGCCTGTGGGACTATGGGAGTCCTGCATCCTTTCACCATGTTTCTTCTCTGACTCTGTCTGTCCCAGCCGGCAGTATTTCTGCTGTTATAAAATGCTCAAAACACATTATCGTTCCCTCATACGTGTCACAGAAATACACATCATTAGACAAGAAGATTCTCTGCAGATCGTTCCCAAATAATTTTATCTCTATTTTTGGCCTCTATTAATTGACAGAGGAATCCATGAGTCATACACGTAATCTCTCCAGAGTTCTCTCTATGATAGAATACTCCGACTTTCTGAAATTTTCCAAGTGCCAGCCAAAGCTTGTCCAGCAGCGCCTTTGACTTTCTATCCTGATCATGATTTCCTGACGGTTGAGTGAATCTCTTAATTTTAACATTTTCTGCAATATGGACAGGGTGAGAATTTCCTGGTTACTTGGTGTTTAGTCCTTTTCTCTGTCATTTACTATAAGCAAAAAAATTAAAAGGCAAATAAATAACCAGGTTGCATTTTCAACACTTTGCTTGGTAATATCTTCAACTCAATATCCTAGTGCATAACTTACAAGTCCTGGTTTCTATAGGAGACGATTCAGCTAAGTGAGATAAATGTGCTAGGAATTATGTCGGTAGAGACAGGGTAAGTTAGAAAGGAACAATGAAGAAAATTTATAGATCTACAGCTTCATTTGTGTTTTTACACGTGTCCTAATTACTTGAGTGGAACTAAATCTGTGCGCACACAGATAAATAATCAGCCACTACTGCTTCCCATCTAGTGAGGACGGACCAGTATAAACTACCTGAAAGCAAGCCTTCATTCTTACTCTGTAAGTTACATGTCTACTACCAGAGCAATTAAAGCATAATGCTCATGTATTTTCTATAGGTCATTGTCCATGTGTAGGGATAAGGAAATTGAATTCCGGTACACAGTAGTCTTTCTAAAAATTACTCTTTATACAGCTCTTCTTCGTCACTAAATGGCCGTACCTCACAGAAAATCCCCTGGCCCTAACTTTTTCTCTTTGGATTTTATTCCCACTACTTATTCTTTCCCAAGATGTTTTTCCATTCTTCAAACTCTCTCTTTCCCTTTCTCATACATTTCTTCTACAGCAAATTGGCCTACTGTGGATTTCTGTCATTCTTTCCTTACTTCCTAAGCCTAATAGATATATCAGTAAATAAAAGTAGTGATTGAAAATACAAAAAAATGTATTTTCTCTCCTTTTACCCCTAGCATACAATTGAAAAGCTTATCACAGTGTAATATATAGCATATGGGACAAAGGAAGCATTGTAAATTCCAAAGAATGTTTTGGGAGCATCTAGCCTACTGGATGCTCTAGTACTGAAGTTTCTCTGGAAGAAGTAAAGTTTTTCTGGAGGAAGTACTGGATGAAGGTACTTCCTCAAACAAATACCCAGTTGAGCTGAGAGGAATGTTGAGTAGATTTTGCATTGCAGCTGGACTGATTAGGTACAAAGAAAAAATGACAAGAATGCATCCCGGTTTTACTGTTGCTGTTTTGTTACTGAATAGAGTTAGAGAATTTTCCATTTAGCAAAAGAAGGGAGATAAGCAAGTTTGGCTAGGAGGTAAAAAATTAAGTTTGAGACACACTAAAATCAACATGATATGTGACATACGGTTAGATAGCACAATTAAATAGATGTATAGATCTAGCAAACATCAACATTTCCAGATTATCTACATCTACATCTATCTATCTATCTATCTATATAAAATCATTTCCATAACTTTTATTTGAAGTTATGAAAGTGGATTGGAATCTAGAGAAAGACAGGAAAGAACTTAAGGTCGAGTCCAAAAATAGTAGAGACATTCAAAGGAATGGTCACCAAAGATCAGTTACCAATGAGATTGGAGAGTATCCTGTTAGGAAGAAAATCGATCAAATGTTTTCATCAAACTGGAGTGGTGAGAGTTTCCCAAGGTGATTGGTGGTCAAGAATGTCCAAGATAAATTCTGTTTCAAAGTTGCATAAAATAAATACTCAAACTCTTTCAACTAGACATAAATTAAAGCATTTGTCACTTGGAAAACACAATTAGATGATAGGATAGAGGGAATAAAACTGACTTTGGTAGTTGAAGAATAAAATAATGATTAACTAATAGAAAACACATCTGTAGATAACTCTTTTAAATGAGAAAGTGAGGAGAGAAATAGGGCAGTTAACTAGTGTCCGGGAAAGAGTTTGCTGCTGTTATATACGTCCCCACCTCTCAGTAGAGATGAAATTTTATTAATCACATAGCACTCCATCTCATACTTATTCCTAGTCTTTAGTGTTGCAGCAACCCATTTTTCTTCCATTTTGTGGCTACTATGCCCTGCAGTCCTATGGTTTTAGACTCCTCTGTCTTCTGTGTGAATGAGGAAAGAGTGAGTAGAGAAATCACAACTGCTTCTTAACCATGTACCCTCAGAAGTGACACACATGATTTCCCCACACTCCCACTGGATGGAATTCAGTTGCATGTCTCTGCTGGCTGGGAGAGAAGCTGGAAATGTAGTCTGACTGCATGCCCCCAAAAGAAACAAACAAAAAATAAGTTGCATAAAAATCTAGACATTCTCTATTGAAACTATTATTTGTATTTTCATTTTAGGAAATTTAAAAAAATAAATAAAAGCAAATGAATTTTTAAAAAATAAAAAGAAGGAAATAAAAATGCAAAATAAAAACTTCTGAGGAAAAAAATAAACCAGTAGAGAAAAATCAATTGAATATAGGAGAGAATGTGGGACAGCTATAATATATTTCCACTTTCTTTTTTTTCAATTCCTCCTAAAATTATTTTTTACTCACGTTTTCAACATTTCTTTTCCTCTCTGTTATTTTCTTATCTAACATTCCATAAAAAGAGAAAAAAATCCTCTTTTTATTACTTTTTTTTTTGTTCTTCCTGTTTTTAGTATCTTATCCCCTTTTTTCTCCTACTACCATTCATTCTTCACAAAAATGACTTGCACATAATTTCAGAGAGCTTCTGAAAAACAAGAGGAAAAAAAAAATCTACTTTGTGTTCTAGCTCTTGGAAGTAACTCTAATAGCTAGATTTCCAAGCTGGGTAGTGTTAGGTTTGTTCCAGGTGGACACTCGAAAGGTATGTATGGGACAGAGAATGCGGTTAATGGAAAATTGATTGAGGTTTGTGAAACAACAGCCGCAGGAATCTGGGGAGTCCCTGGAGGTTGTAAACCTAACAGACAGCTGCAGCCAGCATTCCTATTCCCCCATAAGGATGGAACTAACCCCGCCCTTATCACTAAGGATGAGACTGACCCAGGGGTCTGAGAAATTGGTTGTTTAAAAAAGAAATTTATTGCAGCAGCTGTTCCAGCCCAGGCACTCACTCCCTGCTAAGAAACCCTCTATAAAACCCAAGGCTCTCCCCTCCCTCAGTGTGGGTGCTCTTTGGCCTCCATCCATCCGCACCCAGATGTCCCAAATAAACAGCATTTTGCTACACATGAGGCTCTCTCCCTCTCTCTCTCTCCCTCTTCCCCCTCTCTGTCTCTCTCGCTCTCTCTCTCCTTGGCTTTGGACCTAACAGGTAGAAAAATAGGCTGCTCTTGAGGACACTCCTAGATCGGGTGCCCACTGAGTACCGCCAGCCTCCCAAGCATCTAAAGGATGTGCCTGAACCACACACTTGAACACAAACTCAAGAGCGTTCTGTTAATTTTTTGTTTAAACAAGACAGCACTGCTTCCTCCATAAAAATGAGTCTTAGGTACCCATAAACTGAGAAATGGAAACTGAAAAGTACTAGTCAGAGAATCCTTTGATTTTGTTTGTATATTTTAAAAAGACTAAAACATCACAAGTATAAGCACACCGTCGTGCATAAGCATCATTTACGCCAAGGAAGAAGTAGGGGCTTGCTTGGAGTGAAAGAACATATGTTTTTCCTCCCTATAAATTGTTCTATAAGCAAATACGATGAATGGACAAGAGAAGTACATTTGATTTTCCTGGTTTAGGTTGATGTATCACTGAGTAATTCATTTGTAGTTCTACCTGCTTTCTATTATCAGTCATTTTATAGTCATCTTAAGTGTGGTCCTAAATAAATGTAGGTTAGTTTGCACAGAGGATGACATGTATATGTGTATGTGTGTATGTTCTTGCCAGCTTTAAATAATTCTTTACACATTTTATTCATTTGATTTCTAACATATGTCTACACAAGCAGGGGAAAATGTTAAGTAGAATTTAGTTTGAGATTATACTTGATAAACTCTAAGAACCTCTATTGACCTAAATGATTAGACAACAAGAGAGAACGTTTATTTTATAGATGATAAAACTGAAACATACAGAGAAGTTACTTGCTGAAGGCCACATATTATGTTGCAAAACATTTATATAATTTAGTACTTCTCTTACACATTCTATAATTTTCTTTCAGTGTATCAGAGATAAATGCACAGTCCACAGTAAGTCTTTGTGTGGTGTCTATGATAGGTCAATACGAAAATTCATACTCTGATTGTAGATGCTCATTATTTTTCTCAAATAGAGTGTCCTACATAATACTTTTCAAGAGTAAGGTACAATCACAGCTCTTTTTATTTAACCAAAATGCCACTTTAACTCAGTAAAAAGAAAATATATATATATAAGTTTTTTGTTTACTGACTTCACCATTGTATTCTAATATGCTCCAAATTACTTTCTAGTTTTAGTTACAAACTTTCTTTTCCAAACATATATATTTCAAAATATATTTGTTTCTGAATACAAATACATAAAAGATATCTATGGGAAGTTTGAAAAATAGAGAAAGTACAAAATATTCATAACCCACTACCCAATATGTTGATGATTTATAAGATGTCTTGTTGCTGTTGGCATACAGTAGTTCACATTTCAGGAAAAAAAAATAACAATTTAGACAGAATCAGAGTTCACGTACGAAAACATACCCTAAACCTGAAATTTTTATCAGCCTTGTTACAAAATTATTTTTGTACTATATTAGAAAATATTTTAATGAAAATTTGTTGTTCACTGTGTTTTCTAGTTCTTCCTCATCCTTTGTTCATACATCATGATCACATCACTACTACTGCAAGGTCTTCATGTGCATATAGTGTTTGAACGTTAACGACAGCAACAATACATAGCTCCTACTATGCTCAAGGCACCAGTTTTGGAACTCCACGCAATTAGAAAATGGATGCACTGACACGTTAAGTGAGTTGACAACAGAAGACCTGCACCCTGGTAGTTAGGTTGCAGAGATATAGAGTCTACCTACTAGGTCTGTTTAATTCTAAACTATTTCTATCACTCCAGGGTAAAATCCTGAACCCATTAAGCAATTTCTGTCCATCTCTTCTCCCCTCAGCCCCTGGTAAGCCCCAGTCTGCATTCTGTCTTTCTGGATTTGTCTGTTCTGGATAGTTCATATAAATGGAATTATATAATATGGGACCTTTCGTTCTCGCTCTTTCAATAAGTAAAATGTTTTGGAGGTACATTCACATTGTAGTACATATCAGTTTTTTCATATTTTGCTGAATAATATTCTATTTTGCGTATATGTATCAATTTGTTTATCCATTCATCCCTTGATGGCCGTTTGGGCTTTTTCTGCCTTTTGGATATTGTAGGGGATTGTTGCACAAGTACTAGTGTGCACCTGTACTTGTTTGAGTATGTGTTTTATTTATTTATTTATATTTCAGAATATTATGGGGATATGAACTCTTTGGTTACATAAATTGCCTTTTCACCACCTGAGTCAGAGCTACAAGTGTGCCCATCGCCCAGACGTGAGCACCCATTATTAACCCATCCCCACCTACCCCCAACCCGCTCGTCTCTGATGAATGTCACAAGAATGGAGAAATAAACACCCCTGTACTCAACATTAAATTGATACTAAATGATTAACACTTACATGGACATATGGGAGTACTTGTTTTTAATTTTGAGGGATACATAACTAGAAGTGCCATTGAGGCATCCTTGAATAACTTTATGTTTAATTTTTTGAAAGATTCTCAAACTATTTTCCATAGCAGCCAAACCATGTTGCATTTCTACCAACAACATGTGATGTTTCTAGTAATAATTTCCCAAATCCTCACCAACACTAGTTGCTTTTATATATTTATTTTTTAAATTTAATCATCCTAGTGATATGAAGTGGTATCTCATTGTAACTTTGATTTGCATTGCCCTAATGACTAATGATGTTGAACATATTTTCATGTGTCTATTGGTCATTTGCATATATACTCTTTGGAGAAAGATCTATTCAAATTCTTTGACATTTTTCAATTGGGTTATCTTTCTCACTGAGTTGTCAGATATATGATTTCCAAATATTATCAAATATTCTATAGTCGTTATAATTTTCTTTGACATACAAAAGTTTTTAATTTTGATGAAGTTCAATTTATTTATTTTTTTCTTTTGTTGTTTATGTTTCTGGTGTCATATCTAAGAATTCATTGTTAAACCAAAGCTCATGAAGATTTACACCGTGTTTTCCTCTCAGAGGATTTTAACTTAATATCTTATATTTAAGCTGATCCATTTTGAGTTATTTTTTGTATGTGGTGTGAAGTAAGGGTCCATATTTGTTCTTTTTCATAGAGGTATCCATTTGTCCATGCACCGCTGTTAAGGAGTTTTATTTTTTTTATTTTTTATTTTTATTTGCTGATCAAATTATCTTGGTACCCTTGTTGAATATCAGTTGGCCTTTGAATAAACCCAAAATGGATGGGTTTATTTTCTGGTCACTTTCAATTTTGTTCCCTTGGTGTATGTGTCTGTTCTTATACTAATAATACACTGTTTTGATCACTGAAGCTTAGCATTAAGTTTTAAAATTGTGAAGTGTGAAACCTCTGACATTCTTATTTTTTTCCACAAGATTGTAATGGTTATTTGGGGCTTTTTGCAATTTAATATGAATTTGCAGATCAGCTTTTCCATATTTTCAAAAATGGATGTTCATATTTTGTTAAGAGTTTGTATTACATCTATAAATTGTTTTGGACAGTATTGACATCTAAACAATATTATCTTTCAATTCATGAAGAAAAGGATTTTTTTTTTTCATTTATTCGGGCATTATTTCATTTCCTTCAGCATGTTATTTTCTTTTTTTTAAATTTTTCAGGGAACAAATATTTTATCTTTGTGGTTAAATTTATCCTTCAGTGTTTTATTCTATTAGATACTTTTGTAAATGGAATTGCTATATTAATGTCATATTCAGATTTTTCATTGCAGGTGTATGGAAATACCACTGATTTTTGCATGTTGATTTTGTACCCACTGACTTGGCCAACACTATTATTGGCACAAGAAACTTTTTTTTTGTGTGTGAATTATTTTGTTATATTTCATTTGCTATTGTTTTTATGAGAATTTATGTATCTGTAATTACATTTTTTCTGATGTCTTTATCTGGCTTTTGTGTCAGGGTAATGTTTATTTCATAAAATGAGTTAAGAAGTAGTCTTTCCTCTTCTTTTTTTTAGAAAGTTTTGAGGAGGATTGGTGTCAATTCTTCTTTAAATATTTAGTAGAATTCACCAGTGAAAACATCTAGCCCTGGGCTTTTCTTTTCTGAGAGGGTTTTATTTTCTTGGTGTTGTTTTCTTGTTACTTTATTATTTTTGATTGAATATTTTTACTTATTATATGTATGCTGAAGCTTTGTATGACTTCTTGAGTCAGTTTTAGTAATATTTGTGTTTCTAGGAATTTTTCTATTCCAGAAAGTTTATCTGATTTATTGGCATACAATTTTCCATAATATTTTTCAATTATGTCTTTTTATTTCTGTAAAGTCTATATTAATGATCTAACTTTTATTTCTGATTTTATTTATTTGTATTCTTCCTATATTTTTGTCAGTTCTAGTTAAGGAATTGTCAGTTTTGTTGATCCTTCCAAAGAATCAAGTTTTGTTTTTGTTGATTCTCTCTATTGTTTTTCTACTCTTTATTTCATATATTTCCCCTCTTATCTCTATTAATCTCTTATGCCAGCACTGAAATTAGTTTTCTCTTCTTTTTAGTTCCTTGAAGTTTAAAGTTAGGTTGATTTGAAATCTTTATTTGTTTTCTTTTTATAAATTAGTTGTTTACTGCTATGACATTCCCTCTGAGTACTGCTTCACTGCACCCTATAAGTTTTAATATATTTTCTTTTCATTTACATATATCTGTATTTATATTCTAATTTATCTTTTATTTTCTTTTTTTACCTATTGGGTGATTAAAAGTGTGTTGCTTAAATTCTACATACTTGTGAATTTTCTGATTTTTTTTCTGTAATTATTTCTAGGTTTATTTCATTGCAGTTGGAAAATATGCTTTGTGTGATTTATAAAAAAACAAAAAATTAAACTTGATTCATGGCCCATGGCCAAATAACTCATATATCATAGAAAATGTTTTTTATACAACTGCTGTTATTAGAATGTACATTCTGCTATTATTGAGTGGAGTATATTGTTTTTGTTTGTTCATAGCATTGCTTATAGATTTATATTATGTATACAGTAGCATTTATAGGTTTATAGTATATTTTAAGTCCTCCGTTCTTTTATTTGATCCTCAGTCTAGATCTACTCATTATTGAAAGTGGAGAAGAGCAGAACAAAAGCAAGTAAAAGTACAAAAAGTTCTTCTAGTGTTTTAAAGCTGCCTTTTCATTGCTGTGAACTTTTGGCTGTTTTCTAGTGTTCCGACAAAGTTGGTCCTGTCCATTTTGCTCTTTTTTTATGTTTCTGTGGAAGGATGGGCATTCGGAGCTGTCTACAACATCATTTTGCTGATGTTATCCTCTCTAAACTTTTTTTTTTAGATAGAATTTCACTCTATTGCCTGGGCTAGAATACTGTGGAGTCAGCCTAGCTCACAGCAAGCTCAAACTCCTGGGCTCAAGCAATCCTCCTTCCTCAGCCTCCCAAGTAGCTGGGACTACAGGCATGCACCACGAAGCCTGGCTAATTATTTCTATATATTTTTAGTTGGCCAATTAATTTCTTTCTATTTTTAGTAGAGATGGGGTCTCGCTCTTGCTTGGGCTAGTCTTGAAATCCTGAGATCAAACAATCCACCTACTTTGCCTTCCTAGAGTGCTAGGATTATAGCCATGAGCCACAATGGCCAGCCCTCTAAACTATTTTTATTTTTTAATTTTTTTCCATTTTTTTTATTTCCGCATATTATGGGGGTACAAATGTTAAGGTTACATATATTGCTCATGCCCCTCCCTCTAGTCAGAGCTTCAAGCGTGACCATCCCCCAACCATTGCACATCTTACTCATTATGTTTGTATATACCCATCCCCTCCTCCCCCTCCCACCCAACGGACACCTGATAAATGTTATTCCTATATGTCCACTTAGGTGTTGATGTGCTAATAACAATTTGCTGGTTAATACATGTGGTGCTTGTTTTTCCCATTCTTGAGATACTTCACTTAGTAGAATGGGTTCCAGCTTTATCCAGGAAAACACAAGAAGTACTATATCACCATTGTTTTTTAAAACTGAACAGCACTCCATGGTGTACATATACCATATTTTATTAATCCACTTATGTATTGATGGGCACAAGGGTTGTTTCCACACCTTTGCGATTTTGAACTGTGCTACTATAAACATTTGAGTGCAGGTGTCCCATTTGTAGAGTGTCATTTGATCTTTTGGGTAGATGTCTAATACAGGAATTACTGAATCAAATGGTAGATTGACTTGTATCACTTTAAGGTATCTCCATATTGTTTTCCACAGAGGCTGAACCAGTTTGCAGTCCCACCAGCTGTGTAGGAGTGTTCCTATCTCTCTACATCCACTCCAACATTTATTGTGTGGGGACTTTTTGATAAAGGCCATTCTTAATAGAGATAAGTGATATCTCATTGCAGTTTTGATTTGCATTTCTCTGATGATTAGAGATGTTTAGCATTTTTTCATATGTTTAGCATTTTTTCATATGTTTGTTGGCCTTTATTCTGTCTTCTTTTAAAAAATTTCTATTCATGTGCTTTGCCCACTTTTTGATGGGATTGTTTGATTTTTCCTTGCTAATTTTCCTGAGTTTTAAATAAATTCTAGTTATCAGTCTTTTATCAGATGTGTAGCTTGCAAAAATTTTCTCACATTCTGTGGGTTGTCTGTTTGCTCTCTTGACAGTTTCTTTGGCTGTGCAGAAGCTTT